ACCCTGCAGATGCCCCAGGGACGGCGCTGTGGCGGCTCAAAGTAGGGTACCTACGACATGTAAAATTTTTAAACTCGTGCCATTTTTTTGTTTTTCACCCAAATACAAAGATTTTTATATTTTGTGAAAGCGCTCGACGAGATCTTGAAAAAACATGCTTGGTCATACTACTTATCTCTTATAATATCCGAGTTATAGGCATTTAAAAATTTAGTGATACAAAATTTACCATACCTTGGTCCGCCTTTTTTTGAATACCGGGCGTAATTTTGGACCAAATGGACTCTTGTTAGTTAGACAACAAAATTTCCAATAATATACAAAAAATTTCAGATCAATATCGTTTACAGATCCAAAAATATACGTTTTTTAATTTAAAAATTCAAAAAATTTTAGATTTTTGGCGTTTTTTTGCCAAAAATGTGTCTTAACTCTTTTATTAATAAAATAAAATTTTTATTAAGAACATATAACAATTTTATAGTTTTCTAAAAGGTATCTTTACGCAGAACGCTTTGGCGTAAAAAACTTGTCCTATTTTTTGAAAATGTTGCCACTGCGTCCTTCCGAATATGACCTATTTTTTATCAAAACTTCAACTTTGGGCGACATGTTCTAAAATCCCAAAGCTGGGATCAGAAAACTGAAAGCAGTTTTGGAAACCTCAATATGTTTTCTATTTACTCCAAAAGTATTTTCCCAGCCCTGAAAGAAATGTGGACCCTATGGGCAAAAAAGTAAAAAATCCCATTTTTGGGATTTTCATTCCTATTTTTGGGAATTGCGGGATGCCCTTTGACCTTTTCAATTTGTTGAACAAATTTAACAAGCGTTGAAAATTTCATTGAGTTTTGTTCATAAATAAAGATTTTGTCATATATTACATATTTGTTTAATTTCTAAAACTATGATTTATATCAAAATTTTAATAGGATCGCAGATAGCTACAACAATTTAGTCCATATTTATCCCTTAATATCATTTTTTAGTTAGATATGGAAATTCTCGACACTTTACAAAAAATTTCAAGCCAATATCTCAATTACATTCAAAAATATGTTCATTTAAACCTGTGTCCTTTAATTTCATCTTTTTCATATTTTAGTATTAAGTATGACAGCACATATTTAAATCTTATATTTACCTATTTTCTATTTGCTTGCTTATCCTTATAATTGAAAGGTCCTATTATGCTTAAATTTTCAAAAATTTATAACTATTTTTTACCTACATTTTTTCGACAGATCATTTCGTTCTGTTTCGTTTATGATCATGTAGGTAAAAATATACAGGTAATGATAATTTCGATTCATTCACTAATAAGAAATATCAATGACTGAATTACAGGTTATAGTAATATAGTCCTAAATGTTAATAGGTAGACAATTCGTAATTTTTTACTTTGGAATACCTGTATCGGAAATGACAAGAATTGGTATATAAGTAAACTTCTCAGCTTTTAAGTACCATATTTAATAAATCTACAATGAAGATTACATTAAAGTACGAAGAGTTGTGTTCCGTTTTATGGAGTATATCTTCAAAAGGGCCAGAAAGAATTGAAGACATTTCAAATTATATAAAAACTACATATAGTAGAAAAGTAGATAAAACAGGCATATCAAAAATTGAAAACTTTTTAAAACTTTTTGATGTAAAAAGTAAGTCTGTGGATGGAAATCAAAAGAAATTTCGATTAAAATTTTGTAGTTGGATGGAAACTACTACGGAAATCTCAACTTACAACACATCAATAGGAGCGCCTTGCAAGTCATACGAAGACTTATGTTCAAGGTAAAAAAAAGAGGGTCACACAAAAACTTTTTTCAATCTCAAATGAGGAAATTGCTGATACATTTAACGAAATGCTGAAAAAGGAAAACCAACATATGGATATCGTACATATTGCAACTATTCTTCCTAATGCATCACCAAAACGACTTAAGCGAATTGTGGAAAGTATACCAACTCCAACATCATAATCAAATTTTACTGAAGAGGAAGCAATAGCGCTTATGTTGGAACTGGCTCTCAGTCGAAATAAGTACCAAATATTAAGGAAAGCTCTGCATGAAAAAGGACACAATATATTACCATAATACAAGGCGATCCAGGAAAAAAAACAAACTATCCTACTAAATCAACAAAAAATAATGAAGAATTGAAAGAACTGAGAGCTGCGGAAAAAGCAGAATCCAAGAAGAATTTAAAGTTCAGATGGGATTAAACATCGACAAACCACTTTCAAGTTGCGGTAGTACAAATGACGGTAATACGTCGAGAAGGTTTTTTCGTGATTTTGAAATTACTTCAAAAATAACTGGAATCGACAAGGAGTTGCTTCGAAGAGTTAAAACTATTTTAATGGCACCGAATAGTAAACATAAAATTAATGAAAATTGATTTGGGGAATACACATCTGAAATTTCTAAATTACTTGTATCTCTGTATCCATGGAGGGAACTAACACCAACAGTACACAAAGTATTGTGTCATGGTCAAATAATAATTGAATCGAATATTCTTCCACTTGGAGAGTTAACAGAAGAAGCCCAGGAAGCGAGGAATCGAGATTTTAAGCATGTTCAACTATTCAGCTCAAGAAAATGCTCCAGGCAATCACAGAATGAAGATATTTTTAATAGTTTACTTCTATCTTCTGATCCTGTTCTTTCAACTATGCGAAAAAGATGGATTTGTTATGAAACTCTATCATCTCAAAACAAGGAAGATTTAAAGGACTTATATTACCTTCTAGATATGTATACCGATATGACAGATTATTTTATAGAAAATAAGTAGTGTTAGGAATTAACTATATAAGTAGGTTGTAAGAATTAATTGTATTATGTTTAAGATAAACAGTTCAAATAAAAAAAGCTATTATACTAACTGATGATATTGTATTAAATTGTGTTTTATATTTCGGTGGGCGGGAAAGGTAATTTGTGTAGGGTGATTTAGGTGTTGTTGTGCGTGGCTCATAATAAAATTATAATTTTTTTTATTTTATATACAATATTATAATAAAATAATTAACTAAATAATTTTTAAAAATTGTCCAAATATTTTATTCAACACCAAATGTATGTTCTGTCATACTTAATACTAAAATATGAAAAAGATGAAATTAAAGGACACAGGTTTAAATGAACATATTTTTGAATGTAATTGAGATATTGGCTTGAAATTTTTTGTAAAGGGTCGAGAATTTCCATATCTAACTAAAAAATGATATTAAGGGATAAATATGGACTAAATTGTTGTAGCTATCTGCGATCCTATTAAAATTTTGATATAAATCATAGTTTTAGAAATTAAACAAATATGTAATATATGACAAAATCTTTATTTATGAACAAAACTCAATGAAATTTTCAACGCTTGTTAAATTTGTCATTTCAAATAAGAATATGCAAAAAAAAAATTGAAAAGGTCAAAGGGCATCCCGCAATTCCCAAAAATAGGAATGAAAATCCCAAAAATGGGATTTTTTACTTTTTTGCCCATAGGGTCCACATTTCTTTCAGGGCTGGGAAAATACTTTTGGAGTAAATAGAAAACATATTGAGGTTTCCAAAACTGCTTTCAGTTTTCTGATCCCAGCTTTGGGATTTTAGAACATGTCGCCCAAAGTTGAAGTTTTGATAAAAAATAGGTCATATTCGGAAGGACGCAGTGGCAACATTTTCAAAAAATAGGACAAGTTTTTTACGCCAAAGCGTTCTGCGTAAAGATACCTTTTAGAAAACTATAAAATTGTTATATGTTCTTAATAAAAATTTTATTTTATTAATAAAAGAGTTAAGACACATTTTTGGCAAAAAAACGCCAAAAATCTAAAATTTTTTGAATTTTTAAATTAAAAAACGTATATTTTTGGATCTGTAAACGATATTGATCTGAAATTTTTTGTATATTATTGGAAATTTTGTTGTCTAACTAACAAGAGTCCATTTGGTCCAAAATTACGCCCGGTATTCAAAAAAAGGCGGACCAAGGTATGGTAAATTTTGTATCACTAAATTTTTAAATGCCTATAACTCGGATATTATAAGAGATAAGTAGTATGACCAAGCATGTTTTTTCAAGATCTCGTCGAGCGCTTTCACAAAATATAAAAATCTTTGTATTTGGGTGAAAAACAAAAAAATGGCACGAGTTTAAAAATTTTACATGTCGTAGGTACCCTACTTTGAGCCGCCACAGCGCCGTCCCTGGGGCATCTGCAGGGTTCATCTTCAAAACTTAAACTCGAATACTCCTTGGCTACGCTCACGCCAAATTTTATCCCGATCGGATCAGCCGTTTAGAAATGCCAGATTTATTTCCAAAAAATTTCCATTCTGCCCCACTGTGGAACGTAGGAAAGTGACTAAATAGGTTTTTGCAGAGGGGTGAAAATGAATGTTGTCACTAGACTATAGACTAGACTATAGACTAGACTATAGACTAGACTATAGACTAGACTATAGACTAGAATATAGACTAGACTATAGACTAGACTATAGACTAGACTATAGACTAGACTATAGACTAGACTATAGACTAGACTAGACTAGATATAGACTAGACTATAGACTAGACTAGACTATAGACTAGACTATAGACTAGACTATAGACTAGACTATAGACTAGACCATAGATTAGACTATAGACTAGACTATAGACTAGACTATAGACTAGACTATAGACTAGACTATAGACTAGGCTATAGACTAGACTATAGAATAGACTATAGACTAGACTATAGACTAGACTAGCCTATAGACCGTACTGAATAAAAACACATTCTGAACTTTAATATAATATTATTTGTATAATATGCATCTTTCATTTGGAGAATGAATTTTTAATTCTCATTAAATATAACATAAAATGTAAACCAGTAAAAACTGAAATGTTTAATAAATACAGCGTAAATGTAAAATAAGTATATTTTTCTTCGTAAATACATATTAATTTTTTATTTTCTTCTTCATTTTCAATGTTAAACTTACCATTTAAATATGAAATAAAATCCGTATTTTTGTCATGTTTTATCTCACGTTTCACCACATTATGTGACTGAGAGGATGACAAAGAGGAGGTGCGACGAAGATAGTTTGCCGCAGCTGCAGCAGCATATGATGATATACCATCGTATGGCGATATGTAGTTATGCTGTTGTAAATTTTGTTGTTGTTGTTGCACTTGTCTACTACCAACAACATGTTGCTGTTGTTGTAGTAATATTAAAACAACTGCCACAAGTAGATTAAACAACCATATGCAGTTAATGTCACACATTGTCCATTTCACAACGCACAATGACACGTATTTAATACAAAAAAAAATTAAGTTTTATATTTTTTTAATATATAATTTTTTTTAGCTTTTTTACTTATTTATTTTTTTTTTTTAATTTTAATATTTATATATCAGCGAGGTGAAATAGCTTTTGGGAAAACAAGTAGAGATAAGTTTTGGTACAAATATATTTACCACCCAAAACCGCAAATACTAGCACTTGTTATAATTTAACTTTAAGGGAAATAACCACGACCAAGGACCATATGTATGACTGAATGTATGAATGATTGAATTGAATTAACCGCAATAAGATGAACAAGTTATTCTGACAGAGACACGTTTTAATTTAAATTTAAATTAATTGTATATTTCAGTTACTGCTGGCACGTAAACTTTGTATATTGGGTGTGATAAGTATGTCTGTATGAGTAGTGCTATGAATGTTAAAGTATCCTTGTATTTTTGATACTATATTGCAATCTTGCAATGCCTGTTAGGCCATTTAATTGATTATGTATGTATTTGCTAGTTTGTCTGTTCGAGTTTGTTTTTTTATTTTTAACATTAAGTTTTAGCACTTGCCAATATTGTTAGAGTTGTGCTCTTTTTGTTTTATTTTCAAACAGAATAAAACTTTCACGTATTTTGCCACAATTTACTGCTTCTTATTATTTGCTGTTAGAGTTTATTTTTTAATTTCTGTGCTATTTTTATAGTAAAATCTTGTTAAATTGTCTCTCTAGGCGGTCATTTGTTATATGTTAAAAACATGCAACATCTATGCACAGTGGGTCGTAGGATAAAGAATTTTGTTTGAATTTAAGAATTTTTTTTGTATCGGTATACTTTTGATTTAAGCTTTCATATCATTTAATTATTCGAAAAACACTTCAACGCCCTGATACTGTTAATGGCCTTAATCATAATCTAATTTTTATTTTATCATAGGTTTATAACACAAATTGTAAATACAAATTATGAGGAAAGGGTTTATATATTGAAATTTTGAACAGCGCCCAAATCAGATCCTGATTCTACGAACCTTTCTTCATATTAAACATGATGAAACATGTTGTAATATATTGAATTTGATTTCAATACTGTATAAAGTGACCGTTTTTAAGTTTATAATTAATATATTGAAATAAATAAAAAAGTAAGAAATTATAGTCAGTTCCAGCGGTACATTTTTATGGATACTAAATGAAATAATAGACTGAGAATAGAATAATTATACACAAAATTTTATTGAATTATCACCAAAAATACGTCTTACGATTGATTAAAAATGAACATAGTGAACACAAAAGAGAAGAAGTAAAAGTTCTAAATTCGACTATGACGAATCGTTTGTACCCTTCACTATAGTACATTTTAATAATTTAGCTTTTTATTTTAAAACTTTTTTTTCATTTCTTCCAATTTTCAAATCTGGAAAAAATAACATCAGACATAAAATTCAAAAATTGCTTCCTTTCATGAAAAAATCTATGTGTATAGGAAACCATGGGCCATTTGTATTAACGCTGTGTACTCAGTTTTTCATAATCAGCTCTTATGTCCCTATAAAAGGACCTTAATGTTTAAAGGGTATACGATTTCAAAAGATGGAATTCCAAATTTATATACAAAATTTGGTATTAATATCAAATGAAGCTAAAAATCTCTGCTACAAAGTAATATTATTTATTTCAATTCATCAGGATTAAAAATGAATTGGAAGCTTTAAGAAAATTTTTCAAAAAAAGAATTTAAAAATTTTTGTTTTGAAAATTATACCCTTTTTAAATTTAATTTCTTTTTAGATTTTTTGTCTAAGTGAGTCAAATAAATAATATAAATAGAATGTACCGACTCCCAGCTTTCTTATGATACCAATATGAGCATAATGTAACACATACAAATAATTAAAATATTTGTTTGAAATTGTCAGTTCTTTGAAATTTAAAGTCCTTTCATAAGGACATAAGAGCTGATTATAAAAAACGTATTATGCAGAATTGCTATAAATGGACTCTAGTTTCACAAGCATATCAACTTTTCTATGTGCGAAAGCTTCCCTATAAGACCACCTCCTGAAAATCACCTTAATGAATCTGCTTAAAAACTTAAAAATGTGTAATCCTGTCATCAAAATTATAGGTATAAAGAAAAATTTAATAAAAATAAATTTCATATAAATTGAAGTCATGTTACATCATTAAATAATTGTTTATTACAAATTAAACTAAATTAGTGAGAAATTTTTATCAAATTTTAATCACCGAAAAATAAATTACAAATAAAACAACTCAGCATAAAAATCATTAAACATTCAGTTAAAAATTACCTATTACAGATCTAAAAGAAAAATCAGTTTGTCAATAATAATGCTGAAATTTTCATAAAAGACAAGAAATTTCTTAACTATATATGAGCAATTCACAACTTCATATTCACTTGCTTTTCTTTTCTTAAACACTGAAACATTTTATTTTAATTTTATTTATATTTATTTCACATCTCAGACCCACTGTGCAGTTTGGCAAATCAAGTAGTTTAGAAAAAATATATTTAATTTTATTTCACTTCCCCCACAAATACTCTAACAAACAGTTGCTTTCAGTAACTAAAGTTTAATTAAAAAAAAAAAAGAACGAAAATAAAACGGAAACAACAAACACACAAAGTAACAGAACATTCACAGGGCCTACACGGCGTATGAATAATAAGAAATTGCTTTATATTTACATAAATGGACGTGATTTTTCACTTTCTTGGGGGTTTAAACGATTTTATAACATCATTATAATTTTGTTATTATTTTAAAAATACACTTGCAAGATATTTTGGGCTAAACATAAGCAATTTAATATATATTTTAAAAGGTTTTATTTTAAACTTTAAGGTTGAATTTTTATTTAAAGAAAAACATATTCTTACAATTTTTTGTTTGATTTTTTGAGTAAATTTAACTATTTATTTAAGTTTAAATTGATTTTAATTAAGTAGTGTTAATTTAAGTTTCTTTTTTATATGTATATATTACACTATTTAGTATATGAATTTATTTCAATTCTATTAATACTTTTTCATAAATTTTATCATTGATTTCCTGGCGTTTCAGATTTATTTTTCTTTTTATTTTATTTTTTAGCTCATTCTTTTACCGTGTTTAAATACCAACTAACTTTGAAACCTTCCATAACATTATTAATATATAAAAATGAGTATAGTGTTGTAACGTATGTGCACGTACATGTATGAGTTGTGCTGAGCAGAGTTGTGTTGAGCTGTATAGAATAGCCGCTATTTTGTATATCCTTCCAATTATTTATATTCTCTTGTTGCTGCTGTTGTTGTTGTCATCCTTTGTGACCAACACTTGTATGAACGAACACCGTTAGCACACAAACCCAAGGAAAATACCCAAAAAATGTCAACAGAGAAAATATTTGTGAAAGTTATTTTGCAAAACCAGCAACAACAATGATTTTTAAAAATTTTCTTGAATGAATTTCCAACGTCTGCGCAGTTAGGAGAGAATGGAATGTTTATTATGTTCTCTGTTCTCATCGTAGGTGTCATTCAAACACCTACAATAGTTTTTGCTACATGTTTAGTGTTGTCCTATCCTGGCAGGCGAAATGTTCGAAAGCAACTGTTGTTTTTAACATCAATTTCAGATATGTCTGTCTGTTATCGAGATTTTACGCTTTCTAAAGCAACAGCAGCAAACCCAAACTTAAAGATTCAACAGTTTTTGTTGTTGTAGCTGTTATGTGTAACAATCCATTTTTTATGTTGTTGTTTTCCTTATTATGTGCTGTTGTTTTTTTTTTTTCATTTCATCCTATAGTTCTATTTTGTTTGTGGCAACATATTTGTAGTGGGTGTTTAAGCGGGATTTTTTCAATTTTCCATTTTGTGTGGGATTTATGTTTTTTTTCAGTTTTATTTTTAGTTTCATGTTGGCGGTATTTGTTAAGGGTTTTTCTTCTTCTCCATTTTTTTTTTCTATTTATTCAATTATATAAGAGTCTTGATTTCATACTCGAAGTAGTCATTGAATGGCACTTGTTGTTTTGTACTTATGTACAATTAATAAATGACATTAGCTTAAATATCTTGAGCCGTTTTGAAAAATGACTTAAACATTTTCTAAAAATAACTTAATATATAAATAAATAGCTTAACTTGACTGTTTGACTTGTAGAAAATCATGTCACATATTTGTAAACAACAGCCATTGTCTATCTAACGAAATACAATTTAGAAGAATTATTTGACATATTTTTTTTTTAATTGTCTTTATATAGATTATTGTTTTCTGTAAATGATTGAAACGTGTGTCAGTAAATTGCATTTTTATGTAGTTGAAATAAATACAAAGTTATTGAGTTATTGGTTTTTTATCTATAATTTTCTCCATTGCAACAACTCCTGTACTATAAATAAAAAAGGTAATTAGTAGTGGTTCGATCCTCATATAATTTTGTTAAACAAAAGCACCAATAACTCAGAAATATCATACTCTGGGCTATTAAAAGCGGGCAAACCTTTGATTTTTTGCAACATTTTGATTTTGTTTTTAATCACCAAAATTGTTTTAGCGCTTTATATAAATCACAACATAAGATTTACTATAAGACTGGCATAATCCGAAAAAAGTAGTTGCGAGAAAAATGGTTCATGTTTAATGACATTTTATTATTTTTAAATATTAAACCATAGATAGATAGATAGATAGATAGATAGATAGATAGATAGATAGATAGATAGATAGATAGATAGATAGATAGATAGATAGATAGATAGATAGATAGATAGATAGATAGATAGATAGATAGATAGATAGATAGATAGAATAGATAGATAGATAGATAGATAGATAGATAGATAGATAGATAGATAGATAGATAGATAGATAGATAGATAGATAGATAGATAGATAGTTTTTAAGTTTAATTTCAGTTTCAATCAGACTTTTATTATCTTTTATTTTAATATTTACAAAAATGTATCAACTAAAATACAAATATTTCATCAAAAGAAACACATGTTGCATAATAAATTAAAGAGAATACATATAGGAAAATATATATTGACTGTCTGCAACTTTTAATATTACTTATATTTTTTATAGACTAAATACATATACTTTTTATATGTTTTAATATTGAAAACTTTTATATGAAATGCAAAAAAAAAAAAAAAATACTTAAATAAAATTGTACACCGACATACTCTTTACGTTGTTTATGTTATGCGCATAGGAGTACTCAAGTGTCTTACAGGGTATTTCATTTCATTTGTTGTTTCAGATTTTATACAAAAACATTTTGGTTCAGATCATAAAGAAAGAAATTGATTTTTTCAAAACTTCATCTTCAATAAATTGCTTTTGGAGTTGATATCAAAATGTTCATGTGTCAGTCTTCTGATATGAAACTTGTGAGTCTAAGAATATTGGCTATAATATATAGTTAATTATCATATTTTTTCCCTGTGTAAATTTTGTAATCAAATTTTACAAAATTTATGCAGAATACATAAGGAAGATTCTAAGATTAAAATTTTAATCATGTGGTCGAACATATCAGATTATTATTTCATATATATTTTTTACCTTTTTCTTAATATAAGCTAAAATGTGTAAGAGTAATGAGTTTTTTTCAAATGCGTTTTTGTTTTTTTGAAATAAATTGTGAAAAAGCATGACTTAATTTTAAAACCTATAAGCTTTGATGATTGTTAAAAAATGTTTTGCCACGGCTATTCATTTTATTTTGCCACTTTTTTCTTTTGTTCTTTCAATATAATGGAAAAATAATACACATTGTATATAACAAATCTTCACAAAATCGCCTATATATGTTGTCATAGAAAATTCACAGCAAAAAAAGTTCATCCATAAGAGTTTTGTGCTTCATCGGCTTAATAACGTGCAATACAAATGGACTGTACAAAATTGAAAAGGAGTGGACTGACTGGTCTAGCTTTTTCATATCAGTACAACTGAGTTGTACTTGTGCATTTATTTTTTTTTTTTTTCAACATGTACATTTTTTGGCTAGAAAATAATAAGTAAAATTGAAAAAGTTTCAATAGCAAACCCACACACACACATATATATACACACCTCTAACAAACAAACAAGTGCATAAACTAAAGAGGACCACATAAAATCCATTAAAACAGTAGACACGCTTCCTGAAAGGTCAATGCATTTTTTATTACAACAAATGTTACCGACACTAGGACTACTACAGCTACCACTACTAACATCGAATGTGTACTTGCCACTAGAACTTCTAAAACTCTTGCAACAACAGATTGTGTATAAAATATTGTATTGTTGTAGTTTAGTGTTTGTAATGTTAGTGGCAGCTACATCTATGTATAGTTAAAGTTGCAAGCAGTTGGTCTTGTTTTTTACTACTAACAGTTTGGTTCGATATAAATAAATATAATATAGTGGGTGTTGGTTATTTCAACAGGACTATGTACATTTAACTATAGAACTTTTGTGCAGTGTATATAGAGTGAAACGCAAAAACATGGACACTTAAATACTCATTCAAGATCGAATATAAAACAAGTTAGAAATTATATTTGAACATGCCCAACATATGACACTCTACATTAGAAGGCATTGTATAGAGGACAAACAAGGGGTTTTAAAATTATCACATACTCACAGAATTTTGATAAAATAATTTTGATTACATACTGCATATTTGATGGTCGGACTGAATCTATTGATACACTTTAAGATGGCTATAAGACTATTATGTTTTGGAGTTACAAACATCAGTACAAAGGCATAATACCTACCCACACAATAGTGTATAAATACACACAACAACTTTATATGCCTACCACAACAGAAAATGCATTTAGAGCTCAAAACCGCATACATAGACTTATTTAGAAGGACTATTTTTCGCTTATGGATGTATTTGGGTATGTGTATTTGGAAATGAAAATAAGTAGTTCTAAAAAAACTTTGACTAAATGCTGAAAATAACGGAAATGTGAAAAAAATACTAAAGTTGTACACAAAAAAATAATAAAACCTATTGTCAACGGTTTCATATTTCCTGTAAAACGGACGCGTTGTACAATGCATTTACAAACACACACACACATTTCAAGCACTTAAATACCCAAATACTTACAAAACCGCTACCAACCCACTTGCCGCACATACACACACACTCATATGGATACTTACTTACATACATACATAGATACAGTAAAAACGATGTATGTTCTTATACACATATATTTTTATTTAAAAAAGTTATGAACTCAAAATGACTTAAAAGCGCCGGAAATGAAACGGATGCCATGTTTGTGAACTTAAAATGAATGTATTGTTGTGGAGAATAAAAAAAAAAACAAAGTTGTCAGCATTATTTTTTTCAAATAAAAATTTACAACAAAACAACTTAAATATTATTAATTATGGTTGGTTTTGTTCTTCATTTTTGTGTGAAGTCAGCAAATAATAAATATTTTCATCAACATTTTGTTTTTGCTTAACTTTTTAACGATTGGAGTAGGGTTAGAATTTTTAGGCCGAATGTAAAAAATGTACAATTTAAGATGAGTCAGTTATACAGATTCATATGATACCTCTACCCAGTAATTTTGGATTGTGGTTTCTAATTGTTATAGTGATTAGGGTTTGTCATGAAATTTATTTATTTTAAATTTTACAATCAAAATTGTTTGTATTTATGAAATACAATTAACCGCTTATACCTCTGTTTGCCACTTTTTTTAGCCTTTGATGTAACAATATTAAAATATTTAGAAAAAATACCAAAAAGAAAAACTTTTTGTACTCCTTCGAATTTGCTAAAATTCTTAGCACAAGACTTTGATGTTATCTAAAGTCATTCCTACATTTACGTATATCCCATTTCAGGGTTTTCACTGTCTATAAAGTTTCTCTATCATCTTTCCTTTTCGAAAAGACTCAACATTTAACACAGTTGCTAAATTTAAAAAAATATATATTTCTTATCTAAAATTTTCCCATAGCCATGAAATTTGTACTTCTATTCAAACATAAATCCATTGCAAAGCAGCATAGAAAACTATTCATCAATAAAACATATTATATTTTGTGTAATCTCCAAAACAATAAGAGGATTATCTATGTAC